CATGTTTTCCGCCATCATAAGCTGGAGTACTGCAGCCACCCTTCAGACTATTTCGTTTTCATCTTGCCGGAAGTAAAAGCAGTCCTCTTTGTTCACAAAAAAAGAAAGAACAAAAAAAAATAAAAAAAGCAATGTCAGCGTCACCTCAGCTTTGCTTTAATCCGCTGGAACCAGACTCTTTTTAACTGCGAACACTTCCTGGATGCACACGGCTCGCCACCGCTCTTTGATAGTTTCATTTTGTTCTTTCAGAGCATTCTCTGAAAGCGAGCCAAGACTTGCCTATCTCGCTGCCCGTCTGGCGGCCGAGTATCTCGCTCACTCCTTTCCAAATCAGGCGCCAAAATTGGGTCCGGCGGCACCGAGTTCTACGTTTCGCCGTAACTCGACAAAGAGCAAACACTACGGCCTCTCCGAGCCAATCAGAGCGACGGGAACCTATGCACGTGACAGCTCTTACCAAAGGAACAACCAGGTGTGAGAGCATAACTGCAAGCTGTTGGAGAGGAGGGGAAGGAGGAACTCCCCTCTCACCTAGACCCTCTTTTGTGCGTCCCAGACGTTGGTTCTTCTTCCCCTAGAACAGTGGTTCTCAGCCATGGATGTGTCGGGGACCCCTTGCGGACCGCTGGCAGTGATGGGGGACCCCTTCCAGCAGGGGGGGGGGGGGACGTTAGTAAGTTAACACATCTGGAGCATGGAACAGGTGTTTTAGAGCGCAGCTCTTAGGGGCCCGTTTCCGCCTTGAGCGGCGTCGGCGTCGCCGTCGGCGTAACCGCGAGGTGACATGACCCCCTCAGGTCACGTGACCCCCTGAGGCCATGTGACCCCCTGACGTCACGCGAGCCCCCTTAGGTCACGTGACCTCAAGGAGTCACCTATCCCTCAGTACGCCTCCGTCTTCCTCCTCAAGAGCTGCGCTCTAACCGGGCTTATAGGGAATTGTAAACGGCTTTCATTTTTTATTGCTACGTAGCAGAAAAACATAAAACAAAAGTGCCACATCACTTCATTTTTGGTCAGTTCATCAAAACGTGTCAACTAAAAAAAAAAAAAAAATTGTTGAGGGTCTCGCGGACCCTTATTTGAGAACCACTGCCCTAGAAGATTAGCCCGTCACTCAAAATTCGCACAAAAGCAGCTCTTTCCTCTCTCCCGTCCGTGGCTTGGACACAACCGCAGGCAACTAGGGAAATCGAGTATATATTGTCACGTTTCTCCCCCCGATGCGCTGATTGGCTACTTAGACCGTAGCCTTCGTCGTTTGCGAAGTTTTCCTCCCTCTCAGCTACCACGAATCCAACCTTCCCCAAGCAAAGAGACCGATGAAACGGCAGATGTTTTGGCCGCAGCAGCAGCAGCACGGCGGAGCAGAAACGCGACACACCGTCCCAAGCGACAGACACAACACCGGGAACCGAGTTCTCCCTCTCTTCAAACAAAACGCAGCAGCAGCAGCAGTCGTATCCCGCGCGGGAAACGCCGCAAGGCAGACAGACGCAGCAGCGGAGGTCACCTCACCTCAGTGAACCATCTGCGCCCAGTGTTGCCAGATGGTCCAAACAAAAACCGCCAAACGGCTGGGAGGTATAGCCCAAATATAGCCAAAGCCATAAAATACATATAGCCCAAAATAGCCAAGACTAAAAACGACGATTTTTAAGCCTCTTATTGACAATTTTTCGTACGCGCAAAAAACAACACGTTAATTCTCTTTTTCAACCCTCAGATGTGCCACTTTTTGTGTACTAGGTCTCCTGATATATATATAAAAAAAAGCTTCAGAAGGATGAAAATTTGTGAAACAATTACCCATCCTTCGTAGGTTTTCAGAAATAGAAAACATACATGGACAGCTGTATTGTGAAGCCTGGGACATATAATCATACAGTAAAAGAACAGAATGTAGAAGCAGAACAGGCAGAACTGGCAGTTTTAAACTAGCACCCCCTATATGTAAGGTTCTTACAAATAACCCAACCGTCTATTTTTCATTGTGTAGAATATGAGCGTCCCCCGTTCCGGTTCAAGCTATTTTTGATTGGGTTTTTTTTCTTAAAGTTGGCGATGCCTAAGAATTTTCGCAATGGGCACCAAAGCTGCGTTTGGAGAGTTCAGTCTACGTCCGGGTAGAAGACGCGCTACCGGACTTGTAAAAACAGTGCAATTTGTTTGTTTGATTTGCTTCACTGCGCTGTGGGTAGACCGCTTGAACTCTGCTAGCACTGCTTCTCTGCGCATTGTGAAAACCCCAAAGTTTGTAGAAGTTTGAAGCCATTCTCCTTCCTCTCTCTCCTCTCGACTAGCCAAAAGAGAAACAGTTTTTTTTCGAAACAGACTAGAAGTTCGAAATTAACTACTCGAACCTCAAAGTTCGACGTCGAACCTGAGATTCGACAAGAATTCGCCGCACCCTTAGAAATAGCCCAAAAATAGCCACATAGCCAAAGGCGAAATTTTGACGCCAACTAGAAGAAAATGTAGCCCAATTTGGCTATATATAGCCCAATCTGGCAACACTGCGCCCCTCCGACAGACACTCCCCCCCCTCCTCTCCCACCTACGAAAGACAAACTATAAAAATATAAACGCGAGAAAAGATAAACGGAGAAGCCCAACCGTGCGGAACCGCCACCAACCATTTGAACCCGGCGTTTTCGATTCCCAAAAGCGAAGCGCAGATGCGACGCTCGTGCCACGGCGCAGGTAAGAGAACAACCACCCGTCACGGCAAGAGCGTTCAACTCGAGCCTCCCGACGACGGTGGCCATAAAGACAATAATAATGGTGATGATAAAACCGGCAGATCGACGACGAAACTCCTTCGGCGACTGTGCCATCAACCGCCACGTATATACATAAACGTAAAACAGCGGAAACACTTCACACGCACCCCACCGTCAGAGGAATACCGGTAAATATCTCAGGTGAGACAGGTTTTAAAAATTTTATTTTGTTTGTTTCTTTGCGCACTGAAAAAGGCCACAAGCTCAAACCCATTCCCGAAAATAATCCAACAAAAAGGAATAGAGAAAATATACGAGCAGAAGAAAGAAGTCGAAGCGACGAAGTTCCGTGCAAGTTGGGTACGGAAGGAAACAGCTAAATACAGCTGGCCCTGACGGAGTAGCACGTTCCAACCAACCAGCCAGTCACAGCGAGTTTTGAAAACAAGAGAAGCAATAAGGTACGAAACGACTGCGGCGGTGGTGGCGGCGCGGAGCATTTGAAATGTCGCTTAACCGGTTATTAAATTAGCCGTGCGCATAAAAATAAAAGAAGAAAGGTAAGAGACTGCGAGATGCAGACCCGCAAAACCTTCTGTAACCAAGCCTCCACGCAAAGAAGAAAAAAAGAAAAAAAAAAGAGGTGCGGTGCCCAGACGACGATCCCTCCTCGAGCACGCTAGCTGGCAGTAAAGTGGAAAAAGATAAGCGCAAATAAGAATTACGACTGCATTCCGACTTTGCCGAGAAGCTCGTTCCGCGAGCATGCACGCAGCGAAGTATCCTGCCGCGATGTGCCGGACTGGCGGTGAAGATCGCGGGCAAAAAGCACTGAAAAAACTCGCTGGTGACAACGCTATCAGCATCGAGAGCGAGTTGCATGAACGCGTTACTTTCCAATCTCAGTACTTTCCTGGTCCTACATACCTTGCCAGCTTATTGCGCAACACTGATCAGTTGGTTTTAGGAAGCGGTGAGACCAGCCATCTAATTTGAGAACGATTAAATGAACATGGTAACTGAGCACGCGCAACCGAGCATCCTAAGCACGTTGTTACACAATGACCCTTCTGTCAGAGTGGCCAGCCAGAACCCATACGTTCAGGTTCTATTTGTCTTCCCTTAATAAACCTCTATCTTCTTCTGTTTGTTTATTTCATGTTTTGTATGAGTGCGTTTCCTCGGTTTGAATTCCAAGATGTTGAAAAGAAGGGTCTCAGTTTTCTACACACTCCTGTAGGCAAGCGTTCCTTACTGAAAAACGTCGTAAGAGAAAAGCGGTGTTTCAAATGATCGCTAAGAAAGACTGCCGAATAAGACCAGTCGCCACCCAAAATAAATTCGACTTGGAATGTGAAGGTCTTTTCGCATCAACTATGTTCTAAAATCGCAACCGTCGCGGACTATCCCTACCAATCACAACTTGGCGACCCGGTCCTTCGGAAATTTTATCAGAGCAACAGGAGCAACTTGCTGAAGCTCCTTTAATTTGTTCGTTTCTGCGGGCGACTGTAAAAGAATATTCTCGTGCCAGCCTGAATACTTGTCCCAGTTTCACGACTGACAATAGTCTACTTCCATAAATCTGCTACCGCGCGCGCTGCATTCTGGGAACCTGTTGGGAACCCGCTGAGAAGTGCAATACAAAACAACACTGATTCCCGCAATGAATCGAGGCATTATGTCGCGATGAGGCGCTTCGAGTTTTGGAATAAGTACATTGGATGAGTGTATATTTACACCTTTTGTGGGACATAAGTTCGCTCCCTGAAACCGTCTGGGGTGGTAGGCTCAAACCACACGCTTCAAACCTTCCACGAGTGTAAGACATACACCCTTTTGGGGTCAAAAGTGGTAGGAACAAATCACACCCTTCAAACATTTTATGGGTGTAATAGTAACACCTTTTAGGGATCATAAGATCTAGAGCTAGGTGGTAGGACCACATCACACGCTTCAAACATTCTATGGGTGTAAGATTCACACGTTTTCGGGATCATAAGATCGTACCCCGAAACCACTTGGAATGTTAGACTCAGGTCACACGCTCAAAACTGAACGTAATACCCGAAAAATAAAAGGTGCAAACATAGCACCAAAAGCGGTGTAAGAGTCACAGACTGATCTTGTTATCGCTTTCGAAAGAAACCTTCAGCGTTAAATCAAGCACCGAGAGGGGTGTAAGAGACATCGACTAAACTGTTCTAGAGCTCACGAAGAGGAACTTCATTCCCCCAGTGTTGCGGCGTTAATCCCTAGAGAAAAGAGCATCACCTTTTGCGCCTTGCACATGGAGCCCAGCGGCTGGACGTCGTGGTTGGCGTGCCGTCCGTCCTGCAGACAGAGCACGCAAGCCGCCGCCTTGCACACCATGCAGTACATGCTGAGGGCCTCGTCGCCGTGCTCCGAACACTTGGCATCCCTGCCGGCATTTCCACCGAGCGCACGGGCACGGAGCGCCTTCTTGCCCTGCTGAGGCTCGAGCAGGGTATGTTTGGCGAGCGGACCACGGGCCGGATGACAATTTTCGCGGCACTCATCGCAGTAGAACACCTCGCACTGATCGCACATGACGGACGCCTCGCGCGGACGGTCGGCCTCGCAAAGCTGACAGGCCACGGGCAGTCGCCGCGTCTCGCCGTACTTATCCACGATGTTTTGGAGGGCCCGGTTGCGAGCAAGATTGTGCGCGCCGTTCTCGTCCAGGTAGACGAGCTTGTGGCACTCCGGGCACGCGAGAGACAGCAGGGCCACTCCGCCTTGGAGAAGCATCGGCGGGAACATAGCCACCCCTTGGAGGTTCGGCGTGCCGACGTACGAATTGGGACGGCTCGTGCACACCACGCCGCTGTCTGTTTCACTGAGCAGGCTCAACTTGTCGCCGTCCGGGTAGTCCGCGGCGGTGCCCAGTTCCGACGGGGCACCGCCGCTGCTGTTCGTACTGTTGCCGCTGTCCTCCGAAGTCGACGACGCAGTCCCGTGGGTCGAGGCCGCCGAAGTTGTCGTGGTCGTTGAAGCCGTCGACGGCGCATTGGCCGGCTGTTGGGCGCTCAGCGCGCAGTTGAGGCAGAGCGAGTGCGAGCACGGCAGCAGCACCGGGTTGGTGTAGAAGTGCTTGCACGCGGGACATTTGAGCTCTTCCTCCATGGCGCCTGCAGCTCACACCCATCACAAACACATGCCGACGCGGGACTGGTGCCGAAAAACTCGCTTAAAGGCTCAAAGCGCCGCTTTCCTCCTCTCGGACGCGCACGAGGCGCGCAACTTCAGTGCGCATGCGTGCGTTTTGACACGTGACCCGTTCACGTGACTTTGAAACCACGTGGTATGAAAAGAGCGTGCTCGTTTTGTCACAACTTTTCCCCTCACCTCAATGCGTCGTCTGCGAGAAACCTTCCTATTCTAGCTATTTCACTACCTGTTTCTCGTTGACGTGACGTCACGCGTGGCTGGAAGGCACGCAAATCTCGCGAGTATGAATCGAAGCGGTCGAAAAGGAAAGGAGAGAAAAGGAAGAGAAATCGGAGGGAGAGGAGGAGACGAAAATATGGCGGCATTGAGCGCGGGTCGGTCCGTCGTCAGCTGCTGCTTTCGAAAGTTACGAGTTTTGGATGTGTGCTGCAAAAACTCTCGATCGCGGCTTGACGTGAACGACCTGACGACTTTGTCGTTAAAATGCCTGTCTTCGACACGGGGGTGAGTATGAAGCGAGACGAACGGGTGCGATGATGGGACCAATTGCTGAATGAGCCGTTTAAGTCTCTTGCAATCGCCGATAAGACGCACGCGGTGATATCGAAGTATTGATCTAATGACATTGAGGTAGCTCCTTACGTGTTTTGACCCTTCGCAATGCGTACACGACGATTTCGAAGTAACCATGTAATGCGCTGTTTAAATTATTTTCAACTCCAACTTGACAAAATTAACGTGACGACGTTACAACTTCTATTTAACTAAGTTAACATGTATTAAGACACTGTAAAGAGGCTTCCTGTACGGGAGATACACGGAGCCTCTTTTCAGTGTCTTAATATATTTTAACTTAATTATAGAAGTTGTAAATGATTTAATACACCCATTTGCCGGATTCTGGGACATTTTTGCTTTTGATATATTTGTATAATATCTTTAGCTACGTTTGTGCGACAATATCATTTTTGTTTCAGCTAACAGCAGTGCTAACAGTAATATCTTTTTTATTATTTAAGTGCAGTTTTAGTATGTCGGTTGTCAGTGGTGGCCGAGTGCTGACGGTTCGTTAATTGGAAAAGCGACGTTGCTTTGTGAAAGAAAAAAATAACGTTGAGTGTACTGGATTAACTTCTGATTACATGGAGAGGTCTCTTTTGCGGTTATGTGGCGTACATCCGGGTCTTCCTGTTGAGAGGTTTCTTCCCAGGCAGGTGCGAGCGGTTTCTTGTTCCCAGGCAGGCGCTTTGGGCAAGGTTCAGTTCTGCTGCTTGGGAAGCATCAGGTGTTAGAGCGCATACATTACAGTGATGCCAAGGCCAGACAAACAAACCGGGCCTGGGAGTGATCCCCCCACAAGCTGAGCCAAGCGAACACGGTTACCACAAACGAGTTGTATATTTATGCTGCAGTGCTTAAATTCAAAACAAACTTGAAGAACAGCCTCCATTGGTGCCAGCAGGGAGCCTACTGCTGGCTTCACAGGTGTTTCTCTACACACAGGGTATCCCGCCCAAGCTTTTCATAAAGAATGCTCTGCCGCGTTCCTCTCATCTTTGAAATGTTCCAGATTCGTTAAAGGCTGAGCCCCAAGGAGTATTATTGTGAGCTGGAATGAAATGAAGGCCAGACTTGGTAGCAAACAAATGCCATGTGCCATCTACAATATGTTTTGCAAATGTCAGGGTCTATAGAATGCAGCAAAATCTTCCTAACATTGACATTTTCAGTGCAGTCTTGGACTGCCCTACCTACTGTTGTGCTTGAATCGGATTTGGTGTTTTACGGGCAAAACCAACAAAGGGCTTCCGGCGTGCCTCGGCGAAGAACCGACAAATAGTTTGAACCACCTGGGGGTCATTTGGTGCGCAACTCACATTTCAGTTCCGTGGTGCCTTCTCTGCAACGAGCTTCTGTCAGAGTGTGGGCACTCCGGCTGAGATTCGAACCCGCTGCCACGGAGCTACCTAGGCGGCAAATTGCGTTCAAGCTGCAGAGGCATCCATTATGGGACTGCTCCCTGTCAGGACTTGGCAAGCCTGTCCCTTTTCAGAAGCATCCAAGTTACAAAGCTGTCCAAATTCGCCACACATACTAATATAAGAACACAAAAACTTTAATCAGGACAGATGTGCAATTCAAGCTCTCTAAAGATAACACAGTACGTTTCACTTTATATCATTCCATTAAATGATAAGTAATGCAGTGTTCGTCCCTTTTTCGCGGCACTCCAGAGCAGAAAAGGAGTATGATGTTGCGATTGTCGGCGGAGGAATTGTGGGTGTAGCGACGGCCCGGGAACTCATCCGACGCCACCCCAAGCTAAAGTTTGCCATCATCGAGAAGGAGAACAAGCTAGGTGAGATGTGTTTTCAGCTTGCGTGTTAAACTTGGCCCTATGACCATTTGATTTCACAATCATTAAAAACAAACAAGTACAAGACAGAGGCAGTGAAGAGAAAACAAACATGCCACACCCTGCCAGCTAGTCATATCGTCAGTATCAGTCAGCTTTGTTTTGAAAAGCATTTCTTTTTAATTACCTAGTTCAGACTGAAGTTGCATGCTAAACTTCTTTTATATTAGACACCAATTCCCTTGTCCTAGGGATTAGAAGTAACGCACAAGAAAAAACCAGGATAGGTTTACAGATTTGAGATTAATTGCCGGTGGCTACGATCCGTAATTCGTCGCTTGATATAGGTGTAGTCCATGACATACACCCTAAGCCTGTATTTCAAACAACCGAAATTAGATTGTTACTAACAAAAGCCCCCCCCCCCCCCTTCCCCTCTCAAGCGTACAGATACTGCATAACTGCTGTTAATGCATCTGTGATAAGCAATTTCGGAAAGTATAATGAGGAAAAAAATATAGCTTTTAATTTGAGTATGAAAAAGTTGATTTAAATAAATTTTCCCCGTTTTTCTGTTGAAGGTAAAAAGAAAACATACCGTAAAATACAGGGCAAGCGCCCACTCAAACTTTGGAAATAATCCGAAAAAAAAAAAATGGGGGATGGGCGCTTGTCCGGTCATCAATCTTACATATAAATGTACTGTGCATATTTTTTCAGATCTCACAAATTTGGTAATGGGCGCTTAATGTGGAATGGGGGCGGATACGCGGTATTCTACGGTATATTGTTTTTTCTATGCTTTTAAAAAGAAAAAGATGTAAAACATAAGGGTCTCATTTCTGTTTGAAGTTAGTATAGTTTAAAACGTAGTTCCTTTCAAACATCCATTATCCTGTCCACACTCACTGTAACTTCATTTCATAATCGCAACTCTACCGTAATATCCCAAGAGATAGCCCACCCGAATTCAAAAGCAAATCAGTTGGAAATAAGGAGTAAACTTACTTTCTGTGTGCTGTAAAAAAAAAAAAAAAAAAGAAAAGAAGTTGAAAATGTTAGTTTTAGATTTTGTGACCTGCGAAACTTGTGATCTCAGGGAGGTGAGCAGTGAATCAAATTCAACTGTCATTCCCAGTCATCAACGTTCACTTAACTCCCGCCGTGGCTAAGTAACACCATTTTTTCCGAGGTCACCATTGGCCAGGGCCCTGCAGTTACTAAAAGTGGGCTATCTTACGGTGTTTAAAAAAAAAATGGTTGAGTTATCTTTTGGGGTGGGACATCTTCGGGATATTACGGGCGAAACCGGGCTCTTAATACTGGCTCGGTCAAAATTTGCCTTTAGACACTTTCTTGATTTCTATTCCCGTTCAATCAGTATTGTCCATTCATCTGGATATTTCAACTATTTTATTGTTAGAGGTCACGAAAAGAAGATGAAAATGACTCGTGATGTATTCCTTTTCTCAGCTGCACATCAGAGCGGCCACAACAGCGGAGTGATTCATGCTGGCATCTACTACACTCCTGGATCACTCAAGGCAAAATTGTGCGTGAGAGGCCTAGAACTTTCCTACAAGTACTTCGACGAACATGGCGTTCCTTACAAAAAGTGTGGCAAGGTACTGACTGCCTCCCTCGTTTATTTTAGCATTGTTGCAAACAGTGATGCTCACTAGCATTCTTTCATCAGTGTTTACACTGTACCAATGTGCTCACCTCAAAAGCGCAAGTAGGTCTTTTCAAAAATATGTTTGTCGTTATTTTTAGAGCGCAGCTTTTAGGTGCCCATTTCCGAGTTTCGCGGCCTCGCCGTCTTTGTAACTGCCTCACTAAATTTAGTGGGAAATTGAATTGGTGTTGAGGCCACGTGATGTCAATTTTCCCGCTAAATCTAGCGGAGAAAATGAATTTGTTCATGGGTGACGCGACATGAAGTCGTGACGTCATTTTCCCCACAAAATTTAGTGGGGAAACTTAACCCGCTAAACTCAGCTGAGAAACTTAATGAGCTAAACTTAGCGGGAAAATTTCTGCTTTAAATTTAGAGGAAAGTTTAGCGGGGAAATTTAACAGGAGGAGGGGGGGCATACCCTCCCCTCTGTACCCCCGCCCCCCCCTCCTCCTCCAGAACTGCACTTTAATTTTGCATTACAGAGATCTGTAAACGTCTCTTTTTTTAATCACTTTCTTTGTCCATTTTGTCTACTTGTTAGTTCTTCAGTTTTTAGTGCTGTTTCCGTTTTGTTCTGTTCCTACCATTTGCTCAATGGTAAAAATAGTGGTTGTTTCCTTCATGTGTATTACATCGCACCAAAGTGCACACATAATGGCATCATGTCTTTATCGCAAGGTGAACAATATTAATCGAAGAGGAATGTTTAGGTTCACTTTCAGACGTGACAGAAGTTATCTTTAAGACATTGAAAGTTTTTCTGCAGCTGATTGTTGCGGTAACACCTGAAGAAATACCACGATTGGATGCGCTCGAAGAGAAGGGCATCAAGAATGGAGTCAAGGACCTGCAAAGGCTAGACGCAGAAGGCATCAAGAAGGTAGAACCAAACTGCACGGTGAGCGCCTTTTCTCGGTAATCATATTTATCGTCATATACCGAGCGCATGCCCACGTCGCAATGAGGGCCCACACCCAGCAAACTTTTGAGTCCATCGAATTAACTGAGGTGTTTCTTTACATCAGCTGTTTCTCCGAGAAGCCGGTGCAAGACGGTGAAACATTTTGTGCATGCATCGACGTGAAAGGGTACAGCTTGGCTGAAGAGCTTCGGTACAAAGCACGCGCGACGAGAGCATTGCGGCTGCTTTAAAAATGAGGGGTTCTGCCAGACCCTTGTACTGTTCCTATGCAGAGCACAAGTTTGTCTGCTTCATTTTCAGGGGTTGTGGTGTCATCAGATCACTGAGCTCTGATGGGAGGATAGTGTGTAGACCTCATGGCAGCTTGCTTCGAGGTCTACCCATTATTCTTCAATCAGAGCCAATCAAAGCTTGGCGTTTTGACGTCACCACAACCGCTACAAAAGAAGCAGACGAACTTGCGCTCTGCATACTTTTCCGTGGGATTAAACAAGGGCGTACCCCACCAAGCACCCCTTCTGTCTGCTTTTTTTGCTTTTAGGCCGAACAAGCGCCCATCCCTATTTTTTTCGTATCTCCAACTTTTGCATGGGTGCTTGCTCGGTATTTAATGGTAGGGGGAGCATATGCTTAGCCTACTTTTAACATATTTTGGTCTTTTACTATGTGCTGGTTTTGCTCACTAGTTATTTATCTCCCTATGTTTCATTACTTCTGTGATATACCTTGGATTCAGATGAATATGCACTAATTTTTTGCTCTAAACTGACTGTCAAGGTGCAACAAAGAAACCGCTATTGCGCCTGCACGCCGATGGCCTTGACTGTAGAGTTCCGGGCATCGTTGTGGGCAGGGGCGAATCCGGGGGGGGGGCGATGGGGGCGGCGGCCCTTCCCCAAACAAAGTCGACTCCCCCTCCTCCTTTCTTCTCGGTGGGCCATTTAAGATGGGTGGACCCCCCGGTGCGTACGAAGGAATAGGAGAATAGTATCCTTACAAATTCCCCCCCCCCCCCCCCCCAAAACGGAGTTCTGGATCCGCCCCTAGGTTTTGGGTGTCAGAAAGTGTTGCGGGACGGCCAAAATGATCTACAAAAACTCTCTAATAAGTCAGTGATACCACTATTTCACCAGCTATGGAAAAAAGTTGGGTGCCCTAATAATTTGTTCATATGGCAGCATGCATTGCCAGTGTATGTTCTTATCAAATTACATCCACTTCATACCAAATAAGGCACATGGCAACAAGAAAACTACATATTTGTCCACTCCTCCTGCTGGTTTTCTCCCAGTCATCTAAACATAGTAAAGCTTTTCCTCAAATATTTTGCTTGCATAATTTTAACCTCTTTGTAAAGCTTCCGCATCTTGTCACCCCCACTACCGCAGACTCTAAAGAGCATTTGAGCCCTGTGTGCTGCACAGCTAGTTTGTACAGTGCAAAACACTAATTTAACCTTCTCCATATTTTCTCTATCAAAAGAAAAAAAATACACTGTGTACCACCAACAGATTAGTTGACGCTAAGCTATGAGAAACGTAGCATGAGGAAAATCTAAGATTGACATTTCAACATAATGGGCTTATGTTGAACTAGTGGTTTTTAGATAAATCCAATAAACTCCGAAAAAAACACTCGCCAGTAAAATATTTGTCAATACCAATTTTTCTGACTAACTCTAAACTTCGGAAACACATGTTAAAAAAAAAAAAAACAAAAAAAAAAAAACAGTATTTTGCAATTTTTTTTTTTTTTAGAGCACAGGGTGTTGTGAGTTTACTTTCAAATAGGGTTGCCACCTACCCGGCTTTTAACCGACACGGCCGGTTTTTTGGTTAAAAGGCCGGTTGCTGGTCTATGTTTAAAACCGGCCGCCATGTGCCGTTTTTTTTCCAACTACCTAAACGCAATTTTTGGGGAAGGGAGGGGGGGAGCATACTTTATCAGCTATAGAGCCATATGCATTGTCTATTTTTAAGCTAATTTTGTATATAGGGTAATCTCTTGGCCCCTGGAATTGTTTATTTAGCCACAAAGAAGACATCATTTTCGCTTAAGTCTGGCACGTTTACTATTCAGTGTAGCACATAAGAAGTCTGCGATGTACTCAAGAGCATCAGAGAATGGCGAGCAAGACGTCACATAACTTTGAATCTGAGGGAGGACGCAGTCCTTTTGGGATTCATGATTCGAGAGATATACACCAACTCATGTTTACAAACAAACCGGAGCGCCCCTAGCGGACGCCACCGGCGCCGCGCATGCTCGATGGGGGTGTGGGCAAAAAACTCGCCGTCGCCCATAAACAAACCATTGAAATGCGATGGCGTCGGTGTGAGTCCCCCTGCCCTTTTTCGCGTTCGAATTGTTGGTTGTACGTCTTCCTGGCGATGTCTGACTATCTTGAGCGGCGTCAGCGAAATTACCGAGGCTCGTTACACCGTAAAACTTTGCGTGAATAATGTGACATGTGGCGATTCATTCCGCGTGGACGCCGCAGATTGTACGCGAAAGCCTGATTCGCATGATGAGATTTCGCTCAGAATTTTCAGTCGCGACGCCGCTCGGGCTGCAAAAGCGTGAACCGCAGCTGAGATGGTCGACGACGACACTGAAAATCGCAAACAGAATCGGACCAACTGTATTAGGCATAACAAGTCGGTGTTGGTCACTGGTAACAATGACCAACATCTCCTTGTATCTACTGTTCACATCGAGCCTGCTTACCAACCTTTAAATTTAAGTCTTTTGAGGCCTTCACTCACTTCTTATCACAAGTACCGGGCCAACATTTGGTCTACGGACCGGCGTCATCTAAGAGAGCAGACGACAAGCAGAAACGTTTGAAAGAGCAGACGACAATTCGAACAATCAGGCGGCCATTTGAACTTGAAGACGCACTGAACGTAGTCCACAGGGGGTTCGCACAGCTTGACGGTTTTCTGGCATTCATGTTGGAACAAAACAAATAAATCTGATGAACACAAGTATCCGTGAATTCAACCCAAAATGCTTCCCGCCCAAGCAATCGTTGTCCGACGGCGTCTGCTTTTCCCTTTTCACGGCACACATCCAGATTCTCGGACGAACCGAGCACGTGAAAACTGACCTTCAAACCTTTCTCGACACTTTTGGTACGGCCCCAGTCGCGGCGTTTTGACGAGAAGGCAGGTTTTTGTCTGGTTCCTTTCAAAACAACGCAGGAATACACGTCTGGCATGGGGACTTCTGCCCACAGCCCCAGACCGGAAGTGCGACCGACACGCCACCACCGCGCCGTGACGTCACAGAGTTGAGTTGGTGTATAAAAACATGTTCGCGTTACACAAATTCCCGAGTGACCATGAGCTTCCAAGCCAGAAGCTGGTGTCGGTGCTCGTGGTCTATACTGACGTTCACTACAAAAACCTCGAGAGCCTGCAATATTTGAAAAAATTTATTTACACTTGAAATGTGCAGGCTGAGCATCATGCTCAGTGCCTTAGAGACATGTTTACTCAAAGCGTTATTTAATTCACAGTCACTCTCATTTAAACTGCAGTAATCAGTTCTCCACCTGCTGCACTGGATGAATAAAGGTGTGAGATTTGTTTCTGGCTCTTCAATTTTGATTAAATGGTATGCATCTGTGTATGCTATTGAGAGTGTTGTGCAGTGATGGAAGCAGCATTGGACCTTTAGTAGCAGGTTCTGTAGCAGCCAAAATATTAGTATGGAGCAGATGCCAACATCTGTTAGCGTCTCGCTTCAAAAATTAAAAAAGCGATTGCATCACTAAATGAGTTCATCTTTGATAATGATTGAGGGTTTTTCTTTGATAGTGGAGCATGTTACTTATTACCTTTTGCTATATAAATAGATAGAGTGCAAAAGGAACATAGGGCCTTCCTTTTAGAAATGATGCTCTGGTGAGAGTAGGTTAAATTTACAATGGGTACTAAAAATGGATGAAAAATGAAGCATAGCCCAACACTTCAGTTGGAATAAAGCCTCTCTCCCCTCCCACTTTTATTACACCCGGTAGTTTATTTAGCCTGTAAATATAATTTCTGTAAAATGCCACAAAGAAAGAAGAAAGAAACAGCATATCTGCTAACATGTCTATCAATAGAAATAATTCACCCCAAGTTTTATGAACCTACCAAATTTAAGACTCTAACATGAGTAATATTAACTGCAGAAACAACCACCCACAAACTTTATGAAAACCTACACTTGCGCTTTAGAAGTGACTGCTCTTCACGGGAGTTGGAACTAGAGTAAAGTCAAAGTTCACTGCTATTTCGATCGACGGCTGCACGGGAGCTATCTCGATCGTATTCATTCAGATATAGACCCGCATTTTTGGGTTTTTTTTCTCTTTCTTGGTGCAGCTTTTTATAATTTAAAATCAACCTGCAATTAAGTGCAAAGAAGATAGACTTGAATAGTGCTAAGCATAATTACCGAACCTATCGCGCTAGCCCTTGCGCTCACCAATGTTCCCACTGCTTGGATGCGTTGAGAGGCGGCACGGCATGGAGGCATGCGGCAGAGATGATAAACAAGTGATTTCACCAGGAGTACGAGAGCCTGGTTCCGTCTTATCACAGTTGCCACCAGCCTACTATTTTGCAATATTTTCTTGACTTTTAGCCCCTAACATCGCCGGCATCGTCTGAAAATTTAGACAATGACAGCGATCAACCCGCCGGCACATCCATTGGCCAGCGCGGTTGATAAGCAATCTCTTTACTTCGTTTCACCTTAGTTTAAAGTGCAGCCGACACTATGAGCCAATGGGAACAACCAAACGGAGTGAAAGCGTGAAATCATGATATTTGTTCATCTTCCCATATGTGTTCTTTCATCTACTAAATCAATTAAGTGCAGCGAATGTCCTGTGACTTGTGCTTTTAGTTTGTGTGTTCGTGGTTGTCTGTTCGAGCCTTCGACTGTGCTTTGACCTAAGATGAAGCTTAGAACACGGTTAGTAGAGACTGTGAAATACATATTTGTACCATTTTTCTTTCCTCCTGCTTCTCTAAATATTAAAATTGACCAACAATAAAACATTTTTATTTTTGCTTTGCTTAAGCCCATCTCGGCCAGGTGTGGCACATTTTTAGCAAAAAATGGCACTTTGGTGCAAGATGTAGCAGTCTTTCGTCCATGGTGCAATTGGGCAGAAATGGCACTGCACTTCCATCACTGATTGTCTATCCATGTACTTACATGTGCTATGATGAATAAGTGGATGTATGTCAATTGATTTCTCTTTGGGAAGCTTGTGTCAAAATAAATTGAATCTGTGTACCAATTAGGACTGTCATCACTGCGTCTTTCTTTTTACCAATTCAATTTCTCAAAATCAACCCCCCCCCCCCCTTCCACCCCCTTAATGGCTGGTGTTTCTTAAGAGGAAAGGTGGCAACCATACTTTGAAATCTCAGATCATTAACAAAAGTATTTGTCCTACCTATCTCGTCAAGGTTCGTTCAGAACAATGTGAAATTCTACTTTTGGGTCACAACAAAGGCCACTGTTCAGGTTTCCAATTTTTTAGGGGAAAGGGGATTGTGTTTTATAAAAGTGAAAACTATGAACCCTTAGATTTTATGGGAGTTGGGGGGAGGAACAGATGGAAACTTCTATATTGCTTCCTCTGCCAGTTCCCCAGATCTGTGCAACTGTGGGGTGGAGTGGTGGGATTGTGTTAGAGGAAAACTAATTTCCAAACGACTACGTCCATGAGCTTGTAGACCTTAAATTATTGGCATTCGTTGAAACACCACTTGTTTAGCAAGTTTTGTTGTGGGAGAGTTGGTATCACCAACGTCAAGGGACGCCAGTGCCAAATCCAGCTGAAGAAGTGGTGTTTGATACTGTGGAGTTCTTACAAATTTAGCGCGGAATTTCTGAAAAATTGAGAGAAATTAAACTCCGAATTCCAGATAACCAAAGAATCAAACAAAAATAAAATCTGATAAACCCAAAATTTTTGTCGAAACATAAACTCCGAAAATAATCCTCAGAACTTCACAAAGAATAAACCTGGAATACACAGAACCTTAGTTATCAGCAACTATTTCTCATTGATAGTGCATGGATTTGTTCCCTCAAGTACTGAAAGAAACGTTCAGTCTAGTGATATGCAGATCAGTTGTGTACCAGGGCAACTGATTGATGGTGACAGTGTTCTCTCCCGTCGTAAGCGTCAAGGGGTTGCAAAAAGCTGTCGATCACGCTGGGACGCAAATTTAGAAAATGGCCTTCTCCCAGCTGAAAACGAAGTGCTCACGCCATTGCAGGGACTTCAGGCTTTGTGGTCTCCGCACACCGGGATAGTGGACTGGGGTGAAGTGACGCAGTCCTATGGAAGGGACTTCGTCAAGCAGGGTGGCGACGTCCTACTCAACTTCCCCGTCAAGAGCCTGGAAGTTGCTGCGGAAAGTCAGCGGTCTCCTGGCACTGGAGAAGGGAGCATCACCCATCCAGTCAGGATTGTCGGCAGCACGGAGGTGCGTACGATTGTTTAATCCTCGCTAAGAAGGGAGAAAAGATGGGAGCAGAGTGGCACAGTGCAAGTCTTTCAGTTATGTACTTGTCTCGACTTGACTGAAAATGGAGAAGAGACGGAGGCAGGATGGCATAGCAGAGGTCTTTCGGTCGGGCTACGTCACGCTGTCTCGTTTGCTTATTTCGTTGCCTTACACTTAGTCAAGTCTCAGCATTTTCCTCTTAATGCGAAATACCGAGCGTGCGCTCATGTTGCAATAAGTGCCCACCCCTTACTTCTGAAGCGTTTGATATATAAGCTAAAGACATATCAAGTGCCCGCCATAAGCAAACCTTGCATCGGCTACTTTTCCATGAAACATGTGCAAAGTGGTGAAGCTTTACGCCCACGCATCGGTGCGAAGCAGTGAGGCTTGATGCAAGCGGTGCAGTTGCTTTAAAAATTGGGGTTTCTGCCGGACCTTTATACATCTTCTATACCATCCCATCGGATCAAACAATGTACAAGCAAGGCCCTACCCTACATATGCCCTTTCTGCTTTTCTCCTCTTGAATCTAACAAGCACACATCCCCGTATTTTTCTTATGTACCTCCAGGTGCTTGCTCGGCCTTTTACGGTAGGTCATATCTCAGCTTCATTACGGAATAATTATAAATACCACCACAAAACCACTGCTTTTTACTGCCTCTCTACAGCAGGGTTTCTTGACAGGTCTATGATGTGATCAGGCTCACTGCTATACTCGTTCACCCCTAAGTCGACAGTGCTGTGGGAGCTACGTGCTCACCGCCTCCCTTTTATCACCTAACCTATCGACCGCCTCCCTTTTATCACCTAACCTTACTATCCACACATGGGTATGGGCAGGAGCGTGATCACATGACCTAAAAGTATGTACGACTAGTCCAACTAGCACATAGATTTCACCGCACTGTCAGCTTAGGGGTGAACGGAGTATGGGAGAGGCAGATAACATCTAGTATTTGAGTATGACATACAGCCCTGAAGCTGAGACTACTAATATTGCACGTTTGGAAGTAGCTACCTTCAATCTCGGTGTGCGCGGTTCACCTTAATTCGGAAGGTCAGTTCCTGAGAAATGAAATTGAGCTTTCTGCCCTCTAGATCAGTGGTCTCAAACTCATTTCAGTGTTTGAGTGTGGGGGCCACATATCCAACACCAGGGAAGCCGAGGGCCAAGGCAACACCGTGCTGATTTTTTTAAATAGAAGAGACCTCATGCTCTATGCTTTTTGTAAACGCACAGTTTTGCGAGTGACATTTTTAAATTTGATTTCTTTATGTAACTACTTTGAGACCTGACCTCATGTGATAACAATAAATAAAATGATACCGCCTCACCAGCTTGCTTGCATTTTTAATGGAACAAGAGAGCAACTACTCTGTCGTTCCGGTTGCTCAATTCACTCAAGAATTAACCAAGCTCAACGTGGCTCTGAAAAAAAAGAACACCAGTTAATTTGGCAGTTCTTGCTTTCCTGACAATTTTTATTACAACACTCGGAACAAATACTTGCCTTTTAATGGTAATATGTTTTTGAAGGCTAGAATCCCTAGCTTCGTAGCTTTATATTTGGCAGCTACTTGTACTGATGGAGAATGCACGCAGCCAAGATGCATCTTTTAACAAATAGTTCGCGCTTGCAACAGTAGCGAAATTGTTGTTTACAAAAAGGTGGGAAGCAAAAAATAAAGTGAAACAAAGTGCTCGAGTCATGGGAACCGGGACTCGTAGCCAATTGCCTGCGGGCCGCGTCCCAGCGAGTCGTGGGCCGCATGTGGCCGGCGGGCCGCGTGTTTGAGACCCCTGCTGTAGATGAACCAGAATTTGTAGTGTTAACGTTGTGTTCTTCATCTTTAGAAGGGCTTCTTTTTGTTTTTTCTCGTGGTTCCTTTGTGGAGGAACAGCACGAGCCTAGCAAATAATGAAGAAGAAATAATTCTCATGCAAGACAGCTACAGTGATGTCTCGTCAATATGGACACCTCAATTCCCTAAAAAATGGTCCATAATTTGAGTTGTCCATTTTAATAAGACTAGAATGCATTAGTTTATTGAATTCATCCCCAAAAGTTTTGTCTATATAGCGGGGCATTCATATTAACGGAGTCCGCATTATTAAGACCAGGGTGTCGAACCGGGACCGAACCAAACCGAAAACCGGAACCGAACCGGTATTTTTTCCGGAACTGAACTCGAACCCGAACCATTATATTGTTATCGCGATGAACCCGAACCGGAACTGAACCGGAAAAAAAATAACGGTTACCGGCTCATGTCAAAACAGTTCGGCCACGCGCTGTTGACAATGAATGTGCTATCAATGCCATTTGTTTTTTAAGTGCCGTCAACTGACACACACCTCGCTTACATATTATTCTTCTCCACTCAGTCTTAGGAATATAAACGCTGCATCCATGAATCTTGACAAACGCTGCATCCATGAATCTTGACATAGGAACCAGTATTGCGCTGGTCGCGGCTTGCACGGAAAAAAAAAAAATTGGAAGGCTCTGCAAAAAAAAAAAAAAAAAATCGCGTCACGGGATTTTATTTTCTTACAACCTCGTAAATCCTAAATGCTGCTGTGTGCTCATTTCATAACACGTTTCTAGAACGCGCGAGTTCTTGAAGCTTGCTTCCATCGGAATGAAAAAAGAAAAGGCTGTGGAGTTTGATAATAATGCATCCGGTTTCGTATAGGCACTTAGAAGCTAACATATTTGTGAGACAGCGAACTCTTCTATTTTAATATTTATCCCATTACGTCCTTCTGGCATTGCGTTCAATGAAGTGTTTTTCATATTCCGTATCTTGTTTAATGAAAACTTCTTTAAGGGTCTAATTTGAGTTACCGAAGGCTAGTTCAAATAAAGAAAGCTGTATTTCCTCCCCACTGTTCCTTCAATTGCTTACACCCCGAGGTGGCGGGATAGTTAGCGAGTTCTACTTGTAAGTGGATTTGTAAGGAGGTTGTGGATTTTACAGCTACTGCGTCGGACCCAATTAGATGAAGTCCGAATGCGTAAACGTCGGTGAGGTAACCTTTGAGTGCACATAAAGAAACCATTCCTGGTAGAAATCCCTGAGCCTTACACTATGATGTATCCTGTTTCGTATGTGCTGATTTCAGATGTTTTATTTGTAATTTATTTTGATGTTGCAATTTGTCATTTTAAATTTCCGAACCGGTTCGCAAACCAGTTCAGCGCCCCAAACCGGTTCGCGAACCGGTTCGCGGATCGAATTAATCGAACCGTAACTGAACCGGAACAAAATAAATTTACCTGAACCTCAACCGTAACCGAACCCATATTTTTTTCGGTTCGACACACTGATTAAGACATAAGTGTAACAGCTGAGAGTTGAGTACAAATCACATTTCGTGCAGCAAACCTTATATCTGAACTCCCTGATTTTGGCTGGCTCATTCTGTGGACCAAAATAATATTTTATTTATGGGCTTGAGTTGAGTTAGTTGGTGCATTAGTACTAGGATAGGGCCAGCTTAAACTTGGGAGACGAAAAAATCTTGGTTTTTCACGTTTCTTCATTTCCCAAGTTCAGTTGGCCCTATCCTAATATTTTATTCCCATGCTGAGCATGCTCCATGTCAAAAGTAGACATGTGAGCCATGGTCATCTGTAGTGCCCCTTTTGTATGAGTAAATATGAGCCTGTTTACTTGGATGCCCAATTTTACTGGGGCATATTCACCGGTGGAGATGGTTTGCTGGTCGAAAAGTCTAAAAGACAAATCAAGGCGCTTTTGCCATATCTATTATAAATTGCAAGTAATTCAAGTTTTTTTTTTGTTAACTACTGTAATTTTATTTGGCAGGCAGTTCGGTGCCGCTACGTGGTGACATGTGCTGGCCTCTACTCCGACAAGCTGGCAACACTTTCTGGCTGCAACCCGGAACCCAAGATCCTTCCATTCCGTGGCGAGTATCTGCTCCTCAGACCCGAAAAGAGCAACTTGGTGCGGGGAAACATCTACCCGGTAAGATTTATGTTCTGCCTCATCCCTTTCTCGTGCACAGTAATAACGAACAGGATGACAGAATACAGGTCAAGATGCAATATATTAGGGTTGTGCGAATATTTGAATTTTCGAATAATAGTATTGTATTCGATGTTCACTTCGAGATGAATTGCGATGTTCTTACTAGTTTAAGTGGTGGTCACGGCGGGCTAGTCCCATTGAGTGCGCTTCTCCCCGAGCTTCTTTGTACTGCGGGGAAGCAAGAACCGTAGAGATTGTGGGTATCGCTTCCCCGCAGTGCTCAGTGAGAAGTGGACTCAATGGGACTAAACCGCCGCGATTGTGCAAGAGGCTAGGCAGCAATGCCTCGACAACCCTGCTTTCATCATTCATGCTTTTAGTTATCAAATTTGAAATTGAAGAAAGAATATTTGCATATACCAAGCAGATTTATAAATTCCCTTGAGGGTAATGCCCAGGCATCGTTATCAATCGTTTCGGATAATAAAAAAAATGATTTTGATGTGTCAGTGCCCCTTTAAATTTGCGCGACGCTCGGAGCGCAAGCGATGCGCTCAACGCTGATGGAGAAAAAATTGATGTAACTGGGAACTAACTTACTGTAGTTCCTGAAAAAACACAAGACAGCATAAATACTGCTAGCGGTTGAATTAAAACAGAATCAGACAGTCATACACTGAAGTAAACCAAAAATTAAGCAACAGCTATAGGTCGCTGATGTCGGCTGGGCTTGAAGTTGGCAAACTGGGGGCGTTCGCATGATGTGTCAGTGACGTAGTTGACATGCTGTCAAGCGGGCCACGCCGTTGGCCAAAACTCTTTCCCTATCTGTGGCTCTGGCGTTTTTCAAGATTAATTTCTGTATTTTGTCTCCTACACCCAAAAGTTTGATGTGTTTGTCAAAATAAAATGCACAACGCACCAAAAAAGAGCAATAATTGTATCGTTCGGAATGTCCTGGTAATGAATTATTTTCATTGGTCAAATTTTATGCAGTTGGTGGGGACCCGAGGATGATCCCCCCCCAAAACAAAATAGTACCTGTGTATTTCTACTGCTGCGAGTTTACTAGAACGTCTTGCCATCTAGAACTGGTCATTTTTATTGACTTTATTGACAACAAACAATATGCCATCAAAAACAAGCTTCATCAGTAAAGAGCTCTTGGGTATCCCTTTAATCATGGTGCATGGTAGTGACAGGTTTGGAGAAACTGTTCAATATTCAATTAGGAAATATTCGTCCAAAACCACTTTTCACTTCTAATACGCTTCAAACTTTAAATCCACGGTTCGCACATGCCTATGCAATATATAGGACGGAGACCAATTTTCAAGTGTATATGTTGCTTCTACTCTGTGCAATATTTTCTTCCACCTCAAGCTGAGACTGCAGTCAAGGCTACAAGCACAAGAGCACAATACCTTTAAGCGTTCTTCCTCAGAACGGGTGCTTGTGCTAAAAAGGCACGTCTTAAAGCAAGGAACCCAGGCCAGCTCGCGCTTGCAGCCTTGGCGGCAGTCTCAGCTTGATGATGAACGGAGTATAGTCCTGGCTTTACGTCGTGCTCTTTAAGGTCTTTGTAAACATGTATCAACTTTCCCAAGTTTACACCTTGCTTAACTCCTAATGGCTGGTTTGCACATTTTAGTTTGTGTGTGATCAACTGCGTGGCAAGCAGTAACTCGCTGTTATTCAAACACAAGGTGTCTCGAAGAGGTGCTGTGGTGTGCCCATGCACAAAGCTGATGGCTCTCTTTTCCTCTGCGTTGTTTGTTGTCACACTTTGATTACAGGCTTGTCTTCATAAACATTTCAGAAGAACGCTTTGAAGTTGTTTTGAAACGATGGCTGGTGGCATCAGGCATCATGTAGGCATTTGCCAGCCATCTTGTTGTTCAGTGTTATAGCGTTTGCTGCGGCAAATGACTTTGAGTCACTATTCACATCTTGCATGATATTTCAGGTTCCTGATCCTCGCTTCCCATTTCTGGGCGTTCATTACACTCCACGAATGGACGGGAATGTGCTACTGGGTCCCAATGCTGTCCTCGCATTTCGGAGGGAAGGATACGGATACTTCGACATCAATTTGCCCGAATTGTTTGATGCGTTGAGATTCAGGTGAGATGCTCCGATGCAAACTGCAGCTGTGCATCACAAAAGAGATGGCAAACACTGACAGCTTCATGTGATGGGCTCAGCAGAACTTCAGAGCTACAAGTGTTTACATATACCATATTTACTCGCATAATGAATGCCCTTTTTTTTCCAAGGAAATGTACACATATTTGGGGGGTTGCGTTCATTACGCGGGGTAAAATTTTTGCATTTACACACTTCAAGCAAATGTCATATTAGATGCCAATATGACACGGCAAGGTACTGTGGCACATCTCCACGGATGGAAACGCACAGACGGCTGGTCAGGGGCGTGCCACAGTAACCATGCTTTATAAATTGCTAACCTTTTTACGGCGCTTTTGGTGTGTTTTTTGCCGAAGGAAAAGCGCCCTACGAAGCTCATTCAACATAGAGTGCAACGCGACCGTTCTTAGGCCTAACGATTTTCACGATTTCACTCTTCGAAAGCGGACCGCAGACGACAGCGTGTTTGCTGACATCAATGCATCTAATAGGCGAAGAATGTCCGGGGCTGGTCAATTCCTCGACCCAAGCTTTGTCAAATGTGCGCGCCGCTTGGCTTTACGGTTGATCACTTCCGCAACTACGCACTGGCAACCATTACGAGAGTGGCTTGGCTTGGCTTGGGGCCTTACTGCTTGGCGGCAAAAAAAATTGGCTTGGTGACTAGCTAAGTTGGACGCAATTTGAGACTGGCGGAGCCGAAAATTGGAGGTGCATTCATTACACGAGGTAATAAGAAAAGTCCAAGTATTGACTTTTTCTTATTCCCTCGTGTAATGAATGCACCTCCAATTTTCGTTGTGGGGGGAGCCTTTATTATGCAAGTGCATTCATTATGCGAGTAAGTCGGTACGTTTGGTGCATTCAGAGAGTGGTACTTGCACAACTTAAACTTAAGTGTGTGTTGTCAAAATCTAAATTACAATATGTGCAGTAGAACCTTGTTACTTTAAAAGGAAATGTGAGTCAAGTTCATTTTGGAAATTTTATATCCTTTTTCTTTTGCTCGTTTTATCATCTTCAAACATCCTGCTTTCACGAATAAAAAAAATATTTTACGAAATTTGGACGACAAGAAGGGGAAAAGCATTTCTGACGAACTCGTAGTGGCTCAAGACGTCGCAAGTTTACACGAATATCGGCCATCCTTGAGAAATGTCACTTGGGACAGTTGCACTTTCTACACATTTGTCAGATGTTTGCGACAGACAACACTAAAAAGCGCGACTTTCGCATTTGGAACTACCGAAGCCAGTTTTAAGAAAGGCGGCACAAATGCAAGCTGAGCACGCCAGCAGAGGAACATTTACCACGGCGTGCAAAGCCTAACCACAGCAACGGCAACCGTTTCAACACAATCGGTGCTCCATTCACGTGTGACAGCGCCTCGGAAATAAAAACTGGGTTCTTCAAAAACGTCTACAGAACAATTGGCTGTGGCTGTGCGAGTTTAATGACGTGCGGCATCGGCGCACCAACGACACGTCCGAGTGATGCGATCTGCTCCGCTTGGCACCAGTGCGGCTGGAAAACGCACTAGAGTTTAACCGCCCCTCTAACTACAAAGAGCGAGTGCCTTGAGTAGGTCCTTCCTTGCACATTTAAATCGGAGCATGCCGCATGAGATGAAGACGTAAGCGCAAAGCAAATATACGACAGTGGAAGCTCTTGCAAGTTTTGTCGTCTGTCAACTTGAAATTCGTAAACTTCCATGCTTCGGCACGATTCTCAACCTGCCAACGCCAATGCACCACAAGGTCTTCGCTCGCAGTGACTCTGGATGACTCCTGGTCATTCTATCTATGGTCATGTCGCAATTTCGTGTGGTTCCAGCAGATTTTTGAAGACTATACATCTTCTGAGCTTTCAAATGCATTTTGGAGATAGCGTTTTGGACGCTAGTCAAAGGGGCATCTCGATCCGGTTGCCTTAGCGCGGGCTTCCAGTCGGGGTCACACATCGAAGTAACATGCCTACTGGAACATCTTGTGCATGACACTTTCCGACGACAATCCCTTGCTCGGTGCCCCCCCCATTGTGCACCTGAACCACTGGGATCCCTCTGCCAGCTTTCTTTTCTTTAGCTTGAGTGTAAAGTTTCAAGTGCATAACTTCACTGAGTCCTTCATTGACCCACAAAAGAAGCGCTGGCCAGTGATAATTGTGCGCGACAGCGATGCAGCTGGCATTCTTGACCCATCAATCCTAGTCTTCTACCGCTCGGCCATACCGCTCGGCCATGACCCCGGCTCTCTCTCTGCTCTCCACCTCGATACGAAGAAAACTAAGAATCTCGGCGAGCTTACCTTTGGCATCGGCGGATTGCAACGGCAAGGGACAGATCTGCAAGGGAGAGCGAGTCGATCGAGCGGCCAATGTCCTGTCCTGTTGCATTTGGTGACAGTCTTTTTCAGACGTCGCCGACGCCCTGTAAACGGTGTTGCTCGACTGCCGCTGGTGGTAATCCAGCAGTCTCCTTCAGCAGGGCCCTGAGAAGAATGTCTGACATCATTGTGCAGTAGGTTGCCAATTCCATGCCAAGACCTCTCGGCCCTCGGATGTTTATCTGCATATGAGCACAGATCCTCCTCAGTCCCCTTGTGTTCTTTGCGGACACCGCAGGCGGCAAAGATCGAAGCTTCGCCAGGTGGTCTTGCTCAATTCTTCGCCTGTCACCGAACTGCTGCGTCAGGATGTGGATGGCATCGTCGTAACAGGCCTCCGTGGCCTGAAGTCCTGCGATTGCAGCAGCGGCTGGTCCGGTGACGAGTGTGCGAAGGTAGTGGAACTTTTCCGATTGTGTGATGTTGTCATTGTTGTGAATAGCACCACTGAACTTCTCCCAGAAGCTCTTTCAACCGCTGACCTCTTCGTTGAAGGTATGGAGTCGCAACTTTGGGAGCTTCACTCCGCTTGTCCTGTTGTAAAGAGGTACTGAGGTTGTTGCCGGTGTGGTTTCGTTCAAAGGCACCGGCGTTGGCAGTTCCTTTTGTCGTAGCGATGCTATCTTGCAGCATAGCAGCGCTAGCACTCGGGTGGCATCGCCATCGTATTCGGAGACAGTTATGTATTCCGTGACGAGATCCTCTACTGGCACTTGGTCCTCAATCTCTTTATTTAAGGACCGAAACATTTGGTTGCATGTGCCGAGTCGTTTTAGCTAGGCAGTCACTGTAGCCAGATTCGCTGTCTCTAGCCCTGCCAATGCCTCGTTGATCAGCTTTGTGTTTTGCGCCCGTTTCACTCCCCATTTTTTTTAGCCGTTCCATTGTTGGTCGTTCATAAACACGCACACAGCTCCTACACAGCGTTCCAGTGAGGCGATCACGAAGGTCAAAACCGCTCACCTTGTTTAATATTCTTTCCCCGGTTTCGGCATCATAGTTTCTGCGGCAGAAGCTGCGCGCGGTTCTATACTAATTTAAAGGAATTCACAAATAAACAAAACTATATTACATCAACTATATTACAGAAAAGATTACAGAGATATGCGTGTACACAGTCTATGTTAGGTCGGCGCCGCCACGATCTTCGTCTTTCAAGATCCTTCGTTCGACTGATCTCCCCTACACTGAAAGACCCTTGCTCAAGCTAAAGAATAGCAATATCTAGTGGGTCCTAGCAGTACAGTTTTCTCATATTTTAGTTTTGCCGTGTCTTAACCTCTTTAATGCATTTTACGGGACTTTAGCAAAAACAAAATATGTGGTTCAGGGTTGACTAACGTTGACGTTTGGGCTAATTGGTATTTCGTGGTTAAAAATTAAAAGCGGTGCCATTCGTCTACCTTCTCGTTCTTGTTCGTGTCCTTGCACTGTTTTAATTTTTTAACCATGATTCGAGGAACTGTAACAGCTGATAACGCTTCTGGGGGCCTGTAGACGAGACAGGAAGCAATTTGTACAGCAATTTGTTTTCATGGGCTCGCATGGCTGTAAGGAACTACCATATTTATTGAAGTATAGGTCTACACCTTTTTTTTAACTGTTCTTTAAGTCGTTTATGTAAAATTGCAATAGAAAGAAATGATAAGATTTGAGAAAGAGATGGTAAGATTTGAGGAAGAGATGGTAGAATGGGAGAAAGATGATAACATGAACGGACGACTGCAAAAGCCTAAATTCCTGTCAAGCCTAGTCCAAGGTCATTCCCGCCCTGTCAAGAACAATAAAAAGCACAGCAGACAGATGCAAAGAAGCAAAAAAGGAGCGGGGAAGGTGATCGGAGTTAAGGTAACAAAACGGCCGTAGCTTATGCTTGCGATAGGTGGCATTTTTACGACATCAGAACTGGAAAGGCAAGCACAACAAATGAGAAATTGGTACAGACACATCACTAGGAAGGCTAGTTCGAACTTTTATATTTGAGTTTGATTCGACTGCATTGCGGCCGCTTATTACCATATCGTCGATGGGTATATCGTTTGTCGTGATTGTCCTTTTGTTTATTTTTTGACCAGAGTGCTGTGTTTCGAGCTGTTGATGTTTATTCTCGGCTGTGTTTGCTCTCTTTTTGTACCCTTTTTTTTTTTCTTTTCATTTTTTGGTTGCCCCACCCCCTCTGTAATGCCTTTTGGCCCTGAGGGTATTGTAATAAATAAATAAATAAATAAATATGGTTGCTGTGACAAATGAGGTCCGCGCAACGCTTTTTAAGCTTTGTCCACCCTGCGGTAGCGTAGACGACGTTTAGGCTACACTACTGAGGGTAGGTTCCATAGACACCTCTGTCGCACCAATGATAGCTACACTGTCTATCTCTCGAATGCATAGAATAAAAGGCATACATACTAGAAAAAGGACAGAGTTAAAGAGTGGTTGTTGGACACCTTTAAAACAAACTACTATGTCCCCAACCAAAATGCACCCTGCACCGGCTAGGCAAGAAAAGAGTCCTCACCTGCCAGATGTGGGGTTCCGGAGACCCAAGATCGGGGAAGCATCGAGGAGCTCGCCGATGATGCATCCGAACAGTCGCAGCTGATCGACTAGTCCCCTTCCCCAAATGGGAAAAGAAGAGGCGATACCTCCTTGCTGGCCGGTCGTTACCGCGTCCGAACCGGCGAGTGGAATAAAGGTCCCCCCGTGAGCGAGTGAATAGGAAGGGCCCCTGAGGCAGGCGGCACTCCAACGCTTCACGAGCAGGTCGGAATTCACGGCGAGGAGGGCAAGTGTTCCGACCCCACGCTGTCGTGATGTCTGTCGGGGATCGGTGACCAAAGAAGTCCCCACGATTTGAAGTCTCGAAATTCTTGAAAATTAAGTCGTCTATGAGTATGTATACTAGTAGAGGGCCATGCGTCTAAGATACTGGGGGAGTACGACCATCCATGATACTTGACATGTAGCCACATCTGTGGTCTTTTTTCCTTTTTAGTTTTAGTTTTCTCCTACAATTAGATGGACTACTTTCTAGCAACGAAGAAATAGTCTGCGTGAAGAATGGAGTGTTGAAATCGAAGCATTCCTCCTCTTGATGCACTACATTGTTATTAGTAGCATAAACAGGGTGCTTTTAAGAAGTGTGTGAACATAAAAAGGATCCTGTTAAACTTAGCTGGAAAATATTAACATTAAAAGGCACAGTTTTTTAAACCCAATTTTTAAAGCAATTGAGGTTTTTTCTTCTTCTTTTTTTCTTCTTTTTCTTTTAGGGGCTTTCAGAAGTTAATGGGAAAGCACCTGGCCTATGCCAGCCAAGAACTCTACCGTGGAGTCTACATCAGAGCGCAGGTGAAGCAGCTGCAGAGGTACATCCCACAACTGCGTTTCTCGGATGTCACCAGGTAAGACAGAGACTAGGCCACTCTTGAATATGGTTTTTCATTAAAGCATCCTGGGTTAGGTGGGGGGGTTTGGGATGAACTAGACGTGGGCACGACATAAATAAGGTTCTTTGTTTTCGGGTGATACATACCTGTTTATACCCTAAAAATATACTTGAAACAGATTCTATCAAGGTTTGGTCCAACCCAATTTCTCTCTGGATATAGAAAGAAGACTGTTCTCTGAAGGTTATTTTAAAACCATTTGGAGTGGAAAAACATAGAACTATAGTGCCGATGTGCACATAATTGCAAAAGGAGCCACATAATTTTTGCCACAAGCAAAAGTCGAAATTGTATATCCGGCATGTGAAGCGGCAGTTTGTCCATGTATCTGTGGCTTTTTGTTTGCTTTGAGTAAAAGGTAGATTTCAGAAACTTCTGAAGCCTGAAAATGACTGACAGAAAATTTAATTGCGTTCCGAATTTCACTTGGAAAAATAAAACCTGATATTGAAAAATATAAAGCCTGAAGAAAAAGCTTTCTACCTATAAACAAGGCCATCATGTGAAGTATTTTCTTTTCTTCTTTTTGCTGGTGAACGGAAGCAGTTAGAGCCATCTGTCATGTGAACGTCGACTTGCGGAGAATTGGGAACCTGTTAGAGATAACGTCCAAGAAACATAGAATTTCTAATAAGAAATCAACTTGGAGAAACACCCTGACCCTCCGATTTTAATCAGAAATGAACTACAAAAATGCAAAACCGTAGACAAATAAGTTTGCCTACAGGCACCCTGGTTGCTGTGCATGCCTAAGAACTCTTTCTTTTTTTTTGTAAAGCAAAGCATTCAGTTCACAGCAAGTGGCACCACCTTGACATATTGTTAGAAACATGAAAATCTGCATCCCGCATTTACTTGAGCAATAGACACATTGTTTATGAATAAAGCTTTTCCGTAGAGCCTGCGGATAGTCGAATGTCGCAGTCGGCAGAAGGAGAGGAGCCCAGCAACTTAGGGGACAGATAATTTGTCACTTTAAAATGCTATCTCTGCAGAACACATTTTGGAAGATAATTCTTTTCTCGGCCTTGTTAGGATGCACCGAATGGTTGTATGTGTGCTCTGCTGAAAAGTTGATGGTCGGGTATTGTTCATAAGGAATGCATCTGTTTCTCGAGTTAATATGTTAAACGTAAACCTTTCAGTGCACATTCACCTGGTTAGGAATGACAATGAATGAAAGGAAAACTAACCAAAAATTGATACGGAGCCCGACGTTTCAAGGCCAGCTTGGCCCCTTGGTCACGGGTGACTGTTTTTGTCCTTGTCGGCAATTCGCAAGACGACAACATGGACAAAAACAGTCACCCATGATCAAGGGGCCGAACTGGCCTTGAAACGTCGGGCTTCGTATCAATCTTTGGTTAGAGTTCTCCTTTCATTCCTTGAGTTAATATGGTACCGCAGTATCCAGATTTGCTTGATTGTAGTAGAACCCAGCGCAGGAAAAACAAAAGTTGGTTCGGATTTTCTGCACATAACATCCTCATAAAAACATTTTTGGGGAAACGAACCTTGGCAACGACTAAGTGCCCATAACAACTAAATGCTGCAAAAATAGAGCAGCCTTGTTACAATATCAGCAGTTTTGTTTTGAGGTCTCTCAGCAAATCCCCAGAGTCAATTTTATTCTGGGAAGATTGTGGACAATTTCTACGCTAAATTTGACAGGTTACTTTTTTTTTTATTGAATTTGGCAGGAAACTTTTTCTGCTAAATGTAACAACAACAGTTTCGTCACTAAATCTAGTTGGGGCAATTGCTCCATTGCATTTAGCGACAAATATTTCTCCTCTAAATATCAGTGTGTCACATAGCATCGCATGGCACCATGATGCGACATTGTGACATGACGTTGTGATACCACGGCACGTGGTGCTATTGGCGGCATGTGTGAACTACAGAGGGTGCTTGTCTAGCTGTCATCATCATTGTTTGTGACGGCACGAGTAGGACAGACTGGGATAGACCGCGTAGATTTTGGATCCCTCGGCTCGTCACCTTGCTTCATGTGCTGTTTCGGTAACGTGCAGCAAAGCCTGTTTCATGCGTTGTGTTTATTTGGTATGGTGATATTTGTAGTTGAACATTTTACCAAAGCTTCAAACCGTGGCATGCGTAGTCGTACTGACAAGCATTTTTGGCGCTGAGGTGTCGAAGTGCCCGAATGGCGGCATACTGTTCTCTATCTCAGTACAAAAAGCAGGATAATGAAAATACAATATCCAGCGCTTTACCCCACTACATCTACCACAGTGAATAGGCTGTATATTTTATTATGATTTGTACTAAATAAAACTGAGAAAGGGATGTCTCACCAAATTGAATAAAGGAAAGTGAAATTCAAGAGCCCCTCGCTTATGTAGTAAATACTTCAGTGAAAGCGACTCTGTGTATCCTGTTGGTTCCAATGTATTCTGTGAGTGCTGGTCTCTTATTAGTTCCAAGTTGATTCCTTTTTGAATCTTGTAAACCAGTAAACACACATTTCCTCAAAATAACTGGAAGGAAGAAGCGGTGGCTGACTTCCAGAGTCAGCCACCGCTTCTTCTTTCCAGTTACTAAATCCCTGCTTATTCATCCGGCCGACGCGAAACGTGCGAGACCCCCTCGCGATTAAAGTCTTAAATCTAGTAAGTCCGTGACACTTCAGCTCCCCAAAAAATTAAGTACACGCCTTCTATAAATTACTACCGTTGTATGTCTAATTTTGCAGACCCAAATGCGCATAATCCGTAATGCACTTCTCAGCTACCAATTTTAAATTTGTAAACAATTCTTAGTAAAAATTGGATAGAACATATTAATCAGTTGCCTGAATTTGCCAGGCCATATCAGACAATTTAAGAATTGATGAATATTTCTGCTTTTGAGCAGAAGTCGCAATGTGACAAACTTCTTTGCCACATATTCGATGCAGTAGGAGAGCCTTCGTTGCTCATGAGCATTTGCTTGTCAGCACCTGTCAAGTTACACTTTGATAGAAGCGTCAGCATTGGCAACCTTAATGTAGCTAAAGCAAGTGCGGTGCTTTGCAACACAACTGTGCACACGTGCACAGCTAAGAAGACGGCACGTCATTTACTCTGGTGAATGGAAAACTTTTTTCTACAACAGCCTTCACAGATCCAGAAAAAACAACAACCACAGACGCTGTGAATAGCCCTGACGCACGCCGCGCAAGCTATAATGTGAAGATCCAGGCTTGTGTTTGAACATTCTAAATTTGTTTAATATAAAAAGCAACTTTGAGGCACTGTTATTCTTTAGAAAGATCACTTCCAAAAACATCATACACTTTTCTTTAATAAATAAGCCATTTTTAATCGGCATAGATGCAAACTAACATAGCCACTCCGTGCTTTGACATGACGCGTCGTCTTCTCGCATCCTACCGGCTGCATCACAGGGGCGCCCACGAGGTGGCGCCCCCAAAATATCTCATTGTAAATTATGTAACGTGACAGCATTACGTCCCTTGACACTGGCTTCACATGATTAGTGTGCAGTGTCACATGATTAGTGTGCAGTGTCACATGATTAGTGTGCAGTGTCTGCGTGCGGCAGCAAAGTGTGCAAGCCTCGGTTGTCACTGCAGTTCATTTGCAAAACACAACAAAACTTTTTTTTTTTTTTTTTAGAAAATATTATGTAGTTGGACAGCACACAAACTTTTTTTTCCCTAACTGTCTTGCTGAAATTCTGTGCAGGGGACCTACTGGAGTTCGGGCTCAGGCACTGGATCGCGATGGAAATTTAGTGGACGACTTCGTCTTTGACAGCGGAGAAGGAGAACTGGGTCAACGAACCCTTCACGTCCGTAATGCGCCCTCTCCTGCTGCCACTTCATCTCTCGCCATCGCAGAGATGGTTGCGGACAAAGTGGAAAGCACATTCCAGTTGTGATTGATTTTCTATTAGAATTTCTTAGTCAAGATAATGGTTGTGGTTTCCTATTAGAATTTCCTAGTCAAGATAATGGTTGTGGTTTCCTATTAGAATTTCCTAGTCAAGATAGTGGTGGTGGTGTTAGTTGATCCATTACATAGGTTTGTGAATAACACATTCTTTGCACAATTGGTGCATTCTTGTGTAGCTATACTCAGCGTCGACCATTTTGTGCTAAGCACTCTCGAACAAGACGCAAGACAAGGCCATGTGCTCAGTGCAGGGCAGTTCTGTAGAAGCGACACTAGCCTCAACAATGTAGCAAAAAAATTGCTGACACTGAGTATAATAACTATAAAGTACAAAGTAAGGGCCCACCCAAAATCGGGAGGTAATCTTGAACAACCAGGGGATGGGCGCTTGTGCGGTCCAAGAGCCAAAGTGCAGAAGGGGCATTGACAGGGTGAGCTTCACCACCCTGCAACACGAGGAGGTTCATTTAGGTCAGCAAGGTAGGCTCCAAAGTCTAGGGGAGGCACTTGGTATATCCTTTGCTTAGCTATCATACATTTCAAAGGTAACAGGTGGGTGCTTAATGTGACTTGGGTCCTTTCTTGGTAGTTTGTGATAGTCTGTTACAGGTTCAGATTAGTAGGATGAGTTCCTCTCGCAGGTCCCTCCACACCTTCCACTTTAGCAGGGCGAACCAGCAGCTCTTAGATTACGAGGATGGAGTTTCTATGTCGCCTACCGGAACCCAGAGCAGGACACCAATTGTACACAAGTTCTGTGTCAGTGTTTGGTTGGGGCTTGTGTTTTTGTTGGATTGCTTCTTTTTACCATTCGTATGTTGCAACATACTCTCGTGATGATCATTACTCTGTCGTCGTTTGTGAAAGCTAATTTGAGGCTCCTGTTGTTCTTCGGTTGATGGGAACAGATTGAATCAGTAGATAGTGAGGCTTCCAGTGTACATAGTTGTTGATGAAGTGAATATCTCAGTGTGCCTTATTACGTTACAGTGTCAACAACCTTGTGTCGCGCCATCAAGGAGGGGCTTGAAAGTTGGGGAGAGGGAAATGGAGAGAGAATAAGAGAGTGTAGAATTCTTGTTTCTGACGGGAGTAGACCTTTAGTTAAACCGTCTGACTACCTCTGATTTCTTAAATGGCAAAGCTAGGGAAACCTTTACTTTTCCCTGGCTCTATTTTATGTGATTTATCTTTCATTCTTTGAACTGTTTAGGGCTCGTGTCATGAACGAATTTGGAAATCCTGGCCAAAAAACTTTTTTTGAGGTCATTCCAGTTGAAAGACGTGGGTGTTCGCATATGTAAAGATAAACGAAGGCATGGGCTGTTTGAATGGGTGGGGTTCTTCTATTGTACTGATGCCTGGGATGATTGCTTTTGATTTATTTCTACATTGAGTGCAAGCATTTTGCTGCTTTATCAGCTCATTTGTGTGTGCGGCATGTTTTATATGAAATCCGGATTCTTTGCAGCGAACAAAGAAGGGTGTGCAATAAATGCTAGTCACTGATTCACGTGATATTCTTTTGTCCACGTGATGTTGCATTTTGTTTTGTTCTTAGCTCCAGTGGTAGATCATTTCTGTCTTGGCTAAAAATTCTGCTATTAGAATGATGCACATGCATTCATGAAATAACCCTTTGAGGAAACGAACGCCTCAACTCAATAACTAACATTCTCTCTTTTTTTTTCTTTTACAAGTGATTTGAATTTAGTCAGAATAACATCACAAAAATTGTGACGCAATACACGTGCACTCTATGCAGTGATAAAAGTGCCACGCCATTGGTGCCAAATTGCGTCATGAATGAAATTTTGCTACATCTTGCACCAAAATCGCATTTTTGCTAAGAATTGCGCCATACCTGCGATGAGATAGTAACAAAGCGAAAAATTAAAACATTTCAATATTCGTCAATTTTGATATTCATACAAGTAGTAGAAAATAAAAATGGTTCAAATATGTATTTCTCAGCGTCTCTACTCACTTTGTTTCATCTTAGATCAGAGCACAGTGGAAGTTTCAAACACATCCAACCACGCACATACTAAAAGTGCAAGTCACGGGACAGTCGCTGCGTTTAATTCATTTAGCTGATGAAAGAGCACTTGCAGAAGGATGAAATGCCACTATGTCGCGCGTTTGATGCTGTTTTATTGGTCCCACTGGCTCGCAACGTCGACTGCACTTTGACTTTTAAATGAAACAAATATACACGTTTGCAAGTCTGGCTTCAGAGCGCTGCCATCTTGCTCGCTGGGGTGCGCTTGGACGCGTCCTAATCCGATTACGAAGCCTTGCTAAAGCGCGATCCAAACCAACGCTTCTTTTTGCGCCTAAGCGCAAAAAGAAGCGTTGGTTTGGATCCGCAAAAGTGATGATCGGATTATGGCCGCGCCCAAGCGCACCCCACTGGGCAAGATGGCGGCGCCCTGAGACCGGACTTGCGCAGCCGCGCTGGCGCAACACCTCCTGGACAGCCTTCAAAGCCTGCGCGTCACGTGACATGACGTCACGTTCCGGAGGCCTGCACGGGTGCTGATTGGATTCGAGTGCCGCGTCAGCGTTCGCCGTGGGACTCATTTCCCTATCGTAGTCCCACGCGAAGGCTGACGCGGCACTCGAATCCAATCGGCGCTCGTGCAGGCCTCCGGAACGTGACGTCATGTCACGCGACGCGCAGGCTTGAAAGCTGTCTAGGAGGTGTTGGTTGACCCCACCATCGCCTGAATTTCCAGGCGATGTCAGGAGCTACAAGTCGCGAGGCAACCGTGATAATACAGAACCAGGGTGTTGACTCCTCACGAGATCACTCCATTATTATGTCTGCCAGATATGCCTCCCTGCAGTGATGGAAGTGATGCGCCATTTGCGCTGAATTGCGCCTTGAACGAAAGTCTGCTACATCATGAGTAAAAAAACATTTTTTTGGTTAGAACTGCGCCACACCTTCGAAGATAGGCTTGAACAAAGCTTAAAGTAAAATATTGTATTTTTGGTTGAATATTCAGAGAAGTAGGAGGAAAGGAAAATAGTCCAAATATGTCTCAGCGTCTCTATTCACCGTATAGTTTGTTTCATCTTAGGCTAGAGCACAGTCGAGGGCTCAAGCCCATACAACCACGAAGAGACATACTAAAAGCGCAAGGCACGGGACACTCGCTGCACTTAATTTATTTAGTCGATAAAAGAACACGTACGAAAGATGAACGAATGGCGTGGATTAACGCTTTGACTCTGGTTGTTCCCGTTGGCTCGTATCGTCGGCTGCGCTTTAAATTAAGATGAAACGAGGTACAGGCCTGTTTTTCTCGGTCAGGGAGCGCGAGTGCGCCCATGTAATGCTTGCATCGAACATAAAGCTCCACTACAGCGTTTAATTTAAAGTCCCTCGATAATTATTTTTACAAGTAACGACAACCAATACAAATGACGAAGCGAATTGCGTTGAAACAAAATGGCGTCATTCAGTATTCTGCTGTGCGCCGCCATTCGCTTCCTAAAATCTGCACCGTCACGCAGTCGGCGCTTCAAAGAATGTCACTTCTTGTAGGCTCTTATCTAGAAACTTAATTAGTTCGATCGTGCACGAGCAACGGTCGTTTACTAGCGTGCATCAGCAGATCTGTTAATAATAATAATAATAATAGTTTTATTAGCACAAAATAATTCACGTACATTATTTACTGCCTCACGAAAGCACTTGCGTGCTTGTGTGTGAGAACAGGCAGTCCATACAAGAAAAACAAATCAAACAGAAAAAGAACAAGCGTAAAATAAACACATCTCAATTTTGACACCACATGTTGCAAACTTAGTTTTATGTAAACATTGCACCTTACCGCGAAATAAAAGGACAGATTAAATAACATGTCACACGCCATCCAAATACAATCAAAGCTAAAAAAAAAAAAATTGTCTATGTTGTTTGCTTTATACAACTATATATTTTACATTGCACTTCGCAGAAAGTTGGGTACACCTAGGAGAACACAATTTGTTTGTTAACAGAGCAAAAAGCGACAACAAAAATGCATTTTTCCCTCTCCTCTCGATCCATGATATGTTTGCAATAGTACGAAAATACCTCGAACACAATGGGAACACAAGGAGACCGCTTATATGTAAACATTCAAACGTAAATGTAAAAAAAAAAAAAAAAAAAAAGAAAACATTAACACTCATTTTTACTTTTGCACGACGTTGAACCATTTCCTTAATTCTTTTTTCACCTCTGTTAAGGACGAGAGATCTAATAAATTATTTGGAAGATCGTTGAAATATTTAGGAACGTAATGTTTCCTCATTTTTTTCCCATAATTGGTGTATATCCTTGGAACGTCAAACCGTTCTGTGTGCCTAAGACTTTTTTGTTTGATGGACTGTACTCTGAAATTACACGAGAAATAATATTTTGTGATGACTTCGAACTTGCGTAGGTTATCAATAGCCAACAGGTCCAGGTTGGTCAGCTGCTCTTCAAAGGTTCGATCCTCCAGGTGTGTGCCGTACGTAATATTTTTTATCATCCTTTTAATTAGGTTATCTATTTTTTGTACTTTGTAGTTTGAGCAGAATGCGTAAACTGTTATCCCATACCTTAGTTTAGATTCCCCTAGCATCTGGTAAATCATTCGTCTTAAGTTAATATCTGCACAACTTCGTAATTTATAAAGGTACGATGAAATTATCCGCAAATGCCTAAGTAAGTAATCGACATGTAGATTCCATATTAAGTACTCATCAAAGTATATACCCAAGTACTTCGTTTCCGCAACGTAGGGTAGTGGTAAACAACAACACTGTCTGCATATCGTTGAATGCAAGTAAAGAGGCTCTGTAAGATTAACGCGTTTTTGACGAGTTCTAAAGCACATCAAATGTGTTTTTTCTCTGTTCACAAAAATACAATTTTTTGAAAACCAGCTCATTATTTGTTTTATATCCGCCTGCAGAGTTGAGACCGCAGTGAAGTAATTTTCATCTGCCAAGACTAAAGCCGTATCATCGGCGTACTGATAAATGTTGGACTTTAAGGGCAGCAAGGCGAGATCATTAACATATACATTAAAAAGCATGGGGCCCAACACCGAGCCTTGGGGTACGCCGTAGTTGAGGTACAAGGCATCACTTGTATCATCCCCAATTCTGACTTTTTGAGTTCTGTTGGAAAAGTAGCTTCGAAACAAGTTGAGAAACGGCCCTCGGAAACCAATTCTTTCCAGCTTATCTAGCAATATTGTGTGATCAATTGTATCGAAGGCTTTCGTCAAATCTAAGAACAGTGCGAGTACTAATTGGTTCTTGTCTATGTTGTCGTTCATAAAGTCCGTTATATCTTCGAGTAACAGTGTCGTGCTTTTTTGTTGTCTAAAGCCGTACTGACTGTTGCCAATTAATAAATACTTGTCGCAAAAGGAGGTCATTATTTTTAAGACAAACTTTTCCATGATCTGCGAGATGACAGGTAGCAGCGCGATGGGCCTATAATTGGATAATTCTTTTTTATTCCCCTTCTTGTATATAGGCCTAACTACTGATACCTTCAGCTCATTAGGTATATTTCCTGTAGCAAAAACGCCATTTAATATCGCAAGCAAAACATCTTTTAAGCTGCTAAAGTTAGTTTGTATATCTCTTACCCTTATGTTATCGTTCCCGGCTGGCTTTGTTACAGACATACTGTTAACTATATCCCTTAGTTCCGAGACTGTCATTTCTGGCAGATACGCAGAATTCGGGGAATAGCCCAAAAGCTCTGGTTTTTCTGGAGTGTTGCTTGTTTGGTTCCGTAGATTTTGTACTTGCTTAACAAATGTATTATTGAACTCGTTGCTTAGCGTATTACCGATAGTTGCCCCAAAATTTTTGTTTATACATTCATCTATGCTGTCCTTAGGGGGTTTTCCGATTATTTGATTAACTGTATTCCACGTTTGCCGGAAGTTTTTCCCACACTGCTTGAGTTTCGTCACATGGAACCTTTTTTTAGCCAGTCTACTTTTAGCAGTCACCTTGTTTCGCAGTTGTCTGAATTCTTCCTTTAATGCTGCATCCTGGGGATTTCGTTTGCATCTATTCCATAATTTACTTTTTTCAGAGCTTAATTCTAATATTTCTTGGTCTATCCATTTGTTACTAGGTTTTCTTTGTGTCAATTTTATCGTTCTTTTTGAGCTCTCGTATATATCATTGAACTTCTCGACCACCGTTTCATATAGGGTGACGTGATCAAAATGCAACAAAGAGTTCCAGTTGAATCTTTTCACCTTATCATCTATTTTACTGTTGTCTAGAATCTGGTAATGTACTTGCTTATTGGTTTTGATCGTAGGATCCTCACCCATAATCCTAAGCGCAATGAAATAATGGTCGGCCACTTTTTGTGTTATTACTCCTGCTATAAAATCTAAATTACACGAACGTACAATGACATGATCAATGCACGATCTTGTCACTTTATTACCCAGGTACTCCTCTCTTGTATAATTATTAATTAAATTTTGAAGCCCATAGCTGCATAATATGTCGAGATATTCGGTTACTCCACATTTGTGTTGGCCCATGACATCGATGTTGAAGTCCCCTATGAGTACGATGTGCTCGTCATTATTAAATTTATTGAGTAATGTTACAAATTCGTCATAGAATAAATTTAAATTGCAGTTAGGTGGTCTATATACAGCAAATATAGTAAATGACAACTCAGCCCTATGTATTGATATCACAAGAACTTCTGCGTGATTTAATGACGCTTCAATACGATCGGGTAGCCAACTATTTTTAATGTACACTAGAATCCCACCCCCCCTTCTGCTTTCTCTACGTACTGATATTGAATGAAAACCAGCTATGTGAAAAGGTAAAGGCTCTTCAGCTTCGATATTTATTTCAGTCAATATTATTATATCAACATCTAACAAGGGGTTCAATAGGTAGACATTTAGTTCATCCCAGTGTTTTTTT